AGAGAGAAAGAGGGAGAGAAAGAGAATATATTTGGCTAGTTTTTCTATTTGATTTAGTTACAGAGTTGGTAAGGGCTGCTAACACAAAGACAGTACCTCTCTGAAAGTTTGATTCCACTATCTGCTCCATGAGAGAAAGATAACTAATCTCCTTCCATGCAAATTATACCCTGGGACAACTAACTGGAGGTTCAGCTATGAGTCAGCTCAGATTTATCTGCAACAACACCAACTTCTTTTTAAATCCATTATTTAGGACCTGAGGTAGGGGAGGGGGCAAAGAGGTACTCAGGGGGCATAGTTCATAGTGAGTTTCACTATTAATCAACATTTCTGCTTCTCTAGTAGTTTGGAGCCACCAGTTGCCGCAGAGAAGAGGCAGTCTTCTCCCATCTATGGATGTAATTTCTGCATTCCAAAGGCACCTGAAGTATAAAAATATGTCAGCTCTAAAATGAGCTATTCCATAAACTCACTCCTTGCTGTCGAGTCAGAGCTGAGTCACACCCTTCAGCAGTCTTCAGAGGCTGTAAATCATACAGGTGGAGATGGCTCATTTTTCTCCTGTGGAGAACCTGCTGAAATTTGAGCTCCATGTCTTTGGGTTGCTAGTGCAACTCCTTACCCACTATGCCACAGAGCACCCTATCACATACACTAGTTATTTTCTATCTTTCACTGTTCCTATGACTATAATGGTGGTGAGCAGACAAGATCAAGACCAAGTACCCCAGTCAAAACTCAGGGACAGACCTGATGTTGCAGATGAGCAATTGTAGGCCTTAACTTGAAAGACTAACTGAGAAACTAAAGATGCAGGTCTAGATGGGTGAGATGTATCAGGTAGGAAGGTAAATGTGAATGTGGTGGATCGCTGTTGTTGTTGTTATGTTCTGTTGAGTTTATTGCAACTCATAGCGACCAGCGTACAGCAGCCCTAAACTCTGCTCTGACTTGTGCCAATCACACTATCTCCAACACACCCATCCTGATTACCCCAGTCAGTGAATCAATCCACCTCATAGAGGGCCTTCCTCTCCTTCACTGTCCCTCCACCTTCCCAAACATGATGTCCCTCTCCAAGGACCGGTCCTCCCTTACAACATGTCCAAAGTATGTCAGATGAAGCCTCAGAATCCTTGCCTCCAAGGAGCCACCTGGTTTAACCCTCTCCAGGATAAACCTGTTTGTTTTCTTAGCAGTCCATGATACATTCAATACTCATCTCCAGCACCACAGCTCAAAGGCATCAATTCTCCTTCTAGCCTCCCTAATGATTTTCCAACTCTCTGACACAAAACAAGTGATTGCAAAGACCATGACCTGTATTAGATGCACCTTAGTCTCCAGAGACATCATTGCTCTTCAGTGCTTTGGAGAGGTCCCTAACAGCAGACTTCTCCATCACAAAACGTCTTTTAATTTCCTGGCTGCTGTTGCCAAGAGTGTTGACTGTGGAGCCAAGCAAACTAAAGCTGTGAACACTCTCAATCTCTTCACCATCCATCCTGATGCTGCCAATTGGTCTAGTGGTGAGAGTCTTTTGTCTTCCTTACATTGAGCCTCAATGCATATTGAAGGCTACAGTCCTTGACCCTCTGCAGCAAGCACTTCAGGTCCTCCTCAGTTTCAGCAAGCAGGGGTGTGCCATCTGCATAATGCAGATTGTTGATAGGTCTTTCACTAATCCTGACCCCACATTTCTCCTCATAGAACCCAGCCTCCTGGATAATCTGTTCTGCATACAGGTGATGGGTAGTAGGAGTAATATTTTCTTTTTTTAAAAAGAACTATAGAAATTTTTATTTTAAGAAATTTATATTCTTGCTAAGTGCCATCAAGTTGATTCCAACACATAGTGACTCATACACAATAGAATAAAAGATTTCCAGACCTGTGCCATCCTCACAACTGTTGTTATATTAGAACCCATTGTGACAACCACTGTGCCAATCATCTTGTTGAGGGTTTTCCTTAACACTAGGCCAACAGGCAAAATTATGATGGTTGGCCAAAGGATTGAAACTGTCAAAAAATTTCATCCCACTTGGATCCATAGTTAACACCCTTGGTACCAGTAGTCAAGAGATCAGAAGAAATGTTGCTTTGTGTAAATCTGCTGTCAAGAACCTCTCTAAAATTCTGATGAACAATGATGTCAGTTTGAAGACTAAGGTGCGTCTGAATCTGGCCATAGTCTTTTCAGTTGCTTGCTATGCCTCTGAGAACTGGACAGTGAATATGGAGGATAGAAGAACTGATGGCTCTGGTGTTGGAGAAGGGTCCTAAATATCCCATGTACTGCCAAAAGTACAAACAGATACGTTTTGGGAAAAGGGCAGCCAAAGTGCTTATAGGAGGCAAGGATGGTTAAACTACATCTCTCAATCTTTGGACACCCTGTTAGGAGAGGCTATTCCTTGGAAGAGGATGTCACATTTAGAAAGGTGCAGGTTCAGAAAAAGAAAGACCTCCAATGAGATTGATTGACAAAGTGACTGCAACAATGGGCCCAAGTGTATCAGACACGGCGAGGATGACAAAGGGTAGGACAGGGTTCAGCTTTGTTGTTCATAGGGTCACTACAAGTTGTACTTGACCTGACAATAGCTAACAATAACAACAACAACAACATGGTGCCTTTGGACCTCTGCCTGCTTAGTGGTAAAGAGTTTCACTGCCAACCCAAAGGCATGCAATTTGAATTTACCAGCTATCCTGCTGGAGTTGTTATTTTGGTTGTTGTATCCTGTCAAGTCAGGACTGACCGAAAGCTGACCCTCTGGCGAGTTTTCAGAGGCAGTTAATCGCATGAGTAGAGGCCACCCATCCTTCTCCCTCAGAGCAGCTGGTTGATTTGAACTGAGTACATTTGGGTTGCAGTGCAGCTTCTTGCCATTGGGCAATCTCTTCCCAAGTGGCTGCCTCTGAACATCCACTGGAAGGACAGCTAGGATTCTGTTCTGACTCGATGATACATAACAGCACCGTGCCTTCAGAACTGAGATGTTTCCAGGGTTTCTGGAGCTCTGTAAACACCCTTGGGGTAAGCATGTCAGTAAAGGTCATAAGTTTCAAATAAGTCCCTTCCCTTGTCCCCTGTATTTTTAATCCTTTCTTGTTTGAAAGCTGCAATCAACTAATTAGTTTTGTTCGGATGATCTACCTAGTAAACACTTGGAGTGATAAAGCCTGTTACTACACAGCGTTCTGGACAAGACTTACTAACGATTGAATTCTAATACTTCTTGGCTCACCTTCACTGTAGGATACAGGACAAGCAGTACATGCGACTGCAGTTAGAGAGAATCCCAAATCCCTTTCAGGAAGCAGACTTTCTTAAGGATCACCTTCTTACTGAAGCTGCAGACTTTATATTAACTTGCCTGGATGTCAACGGACTTTTCCATTTCATGTTCAAATGCTGACATGCAGATATTTTCATGTGCTTTTCTTTGCTCACAAAGCGGTATTGAACTTGTAGCCTGCGATTCTCACACACTTCCTTACACAAGTGTATCCTGAGTAACATCCCCTGAAGCAGCATGTCAACAAGGTCACTCTTGATTGTTCCCAGCTTGGAGTGCAGCTTCATCTCCAGGCTATTTTAGGGTTGCTGAAGCCCCTTGGGCTACTCAGCATACAAGACCAAGCCTTGTCCTCAGTCAGATCACAGAGATTTCTGCATCAATGTTCTCTTTGCACGTTTCTCTGGTTTCTATAAACTAGTTTTCATAACAGATGCAGAGAGGTGGGAAGGAGAGTGAGAATGGTTGAAGCCTGGGGAGGCTTTGTGCGATAATTTCTCTAGGCACTCAGAACAAGCAAACAAGGCTGTTGCCATCAGGTAGATTCTGATTCAAGATGACTCTGTCAGAGTAGAACTACGCTACATAGCATTTTCAAGAACTAGTTTTTCCAATGTAAGTCCTTAGACCTCTCTTTGGAGTTGCCTCTAGGTGGATTTGAACTGCCAACCATTCTGTGAGTATCTGAATGCTTAATGGTCTGTCCACAAAGGAACTTTTATAAACACTAAATAAATTAAACAGTCTTCTGTTTGGATAATGTGTCTAGAAAAGAATGATTTACCAGTCATAGACATTGTAAGTCCTAGCTTCTATTGCAAAATTTAAAAAAAAAAAACCCATTATGTACTTATATGTTGTTGTTTGTCATCAAACTGGAGCTGTCCCATAGCTGATGCTCCAGCTGGTTTTCAGGGGTAGGAAAAATCACACAGGGGGAGAGTGCCAGTTTTTTCTCTGGTGACCAGTTGGTAGATTCAAACTGCATACCTTTACACTGAATGCACAATTTTTTACCACTAAGCCACTAGATTCTCCGGGTGTCTATGAACTGTACTTGTCTCCAAGGCACCTAACAACAAACAGCAAGCCACCAGAGCTCCTTTGTGTCAGACTAGGTGATGGTGAACACAGAAGAAAAAAAAGTACAACAATCTTTACTGCATGAATTTTCTGCTTAATGTATGATGCATGTGAGAATAAGTGTAAAAGAAACAAATGGTATAGGACTTTCCTTGCTATATTAATAGCATTTTACATTTCCTGATTGACTAATACATCGATGGGCTCCTCTCTAGTGCTCTGTGACCTGCGGCTCTGGAATTCAGCAGCGGGAGGTGTACTGTAGACTGCGAGGCATTGGTCGGGTGCCTAAAGAAATGTGTGGTCTGTCCACTCGGCCGTCTTCTCACAGGCAGTGTTGGCAACAGGACTGTGCACAGTACCGGTGGACTGCAGGAACCTGGAAGGAGGTAAGTCTGCATGAGTACATTTCCAAAGACACTGACGCCATCTAAGAGTGTGCTATTAATATTGTGACTCCATATCTAGTGTTTGGCATCATGCAAGAGGAAAGGGATGTATCGGCAAGTGAAGTGTATTGATGCACACAACATGACAGTGAATCAAAGTTTCTGTGACCCTTCAACCAGAATTCCTTCATTCAAGAAGTGCAGTAAACCTCCCTGCACATACATTGTGGTGACAGGAGATTCAACCCAGGTAAAGCAAAAAGGGGGAGTTGAGAATGTTTGCTCTTGAAACAAGACAAAACAATTCTTATTGCATATGTAACAGGGTTAAAAATTTTAATAAAAAGGTATCTGATGGAATGCATATCAATTTAAGTAGTAAAACCACTAACTGCTGAATGGTACAAATAGAATAATAGTAAAGCATATGTTAACAAGTTCTACTGCAGTCATAAGAGGTCAACTGGTGTCAATTATGATAGCAACCCTCAGAAGCAAACTGATGGGAAAAGTGGCCTACTTTTAAAATACAGCTTTGAGGTATGTTGTTGTTATGTATCATCTAGCTGCAATCAACTCACAGTTGACCCTCTTAGCAGGCTTTCAGAAACAGTAAGTCTCTCAGAATGAGATTGTCCATCTTCTTCCCTAGGGGCAGCTGGTGGCAGCACAACTCCTTACCACTAAGCCATCAGAACATTCTGCTTTGTAATATAATTGATGTAAAATAAACTTTACATGTGTAAAGTGTACAGCTTGATAAACTTAAAATATTTGCATGAAACCATTATCATAATCAAAACAAAGAATATCTTCAACACTGTGTTCTTCAACAATCCCTTTCCCCACTTTTCCCCATCCTCCTGAGGAAATTTGACCTTCTTTATGTCGCTGTGGATTAGTTTGATAGAGTTTTGCATAAATAGAATCATGCAAAATGTACTCTGCTATTTTAGGTTCAGCAAAGTTTTCTGAAATTCAGTCATGTTGTGGTGTGTATCAATAGCCTAGTCCTTTCTATTGCTTAATGGTATTCTGCAATATTCTGATTATCTTAAAAAATGATAATAATTTTGTGATATACAATCTTCCAGAAATCCCAATCCAGCCTGTTATTCATCTCAGACATTGCAATCTTTTTTCTTTATAGATTTAATCTTAGTCTTTTTGTATACTTTAAGAATATACTTAATTTTTTAATGAAATAGAAAATGGCCATAAATAACTAATAGTAATTTCTTCTGCTAATTCTAACACCTGTGTAAATTGAGATTTTTTTTGGTAACATTATGCTTTTTTAGCACACCTATAAATTTGTGCAACTATCATAACTATCTAAGTTATAAGTATTTCATTGTCTTCCCAAAATCCCCTACACATTCATTAATTCTTGATGAGCATTGTTGAATCAGAACCAACCCATAGCTGACTCTTCAAGCAGGTTTTTAGAGACTGTAAGTCACATGGGAGGAGACGGCCTTCTTCTCCAACAGAGCAGCTGATGGATCTGAACCACCAGCCTTTGTGATTACAGTACAGATCCTTATCACTAAGCTACCAGACATTGCCTATACTCCCATGCACTTACTATTTGCACTTCTTTAATATTGCCATTCTGTTGTTGTTGTTATGTGCCGTTGAGTTGCTTGTGACTCATAGCCACCCTATGTACAACAGCCCTAAACTCTGCTCTGTCCTGTGCCAATTGTGCTGCCTCTGACACAACCATCCCGATTATCCCAGTCACTGAATCAATCCACCTCATAGAGGGCCTTCCCCTCCTGCCCCATCCCTCCACCCTCCCAACCATGATGTCCTTCTCCAAGGACTAGTCCCTTCTTACAACATGTCCAAAGTATGAGCCCCAAAATCTTTGCCTCCAAGGAGCCGCCTGGTTTAACTCTCTCCAGGATGAAGCTATTTGTTTTCTTAGCAGTCCAAGTAGATTCTAGTAGATGTAGATGTAGATGTAACCATTTTAGTAGATGTAAAATTGTATCTTGTTATGGTTCCTGCTTGCATTTCTGGAATGACTACTGATATTGAGCATATCTCTTCTTTTTGGAAAAATATTATTTGCCCACACTTTATTGAATCATTTAGTTTTGAATGGTTGGGCTTTAAGTGTTTTTTATATGTATTCTGCTTTTTATATTTAATCTTAGCCAAAGGGCCAAGAAGTTATTTATTAGATACATGTACATATTTTTCTCTCATTCTGTGTACTACATTGTCACTTTGTTGAGAGTTTCAATGATACATAAGGTTTTCATCACATTCTTAGAAATACTGATCAATGTAATCTATTTGCTTTCTGGTGCTTTTCACTTTAGTATCATGTCAAAGAAACCATTAAATAGTCTAAGGTCATAAAGATTGACACATCATGTTTTTTTCCCAAGAGAATCCCATAAAGGTTTCCCACTACTGTAGAGTTAATTCTGACTCATAGTGACCAAATAGGACAGAAAAGAACTTCCCCACAGTTTCCAGGTCTGTAAATGGTAATGGAGGCAGAAAGCATCTTACTTCTAGGAAGCAGCTAGTTGAGTGGATTCACTGACATTTTGTTTAGTAACTCATGGCTTAATCATTTAATCCACTGGCGCCCCTCCCGCAAAGATTTCAAACAAAACAAAGCAGATCTTGATTCTGTCAAGTAGATACTGACTCATGGTGACACAGGAAGCCCCACACAATTCTCCTTTGGTCCTCTGGTCACTAAGAATCAGAATCCACCCAAAAACACACAGTAACAATATGACACATTGTGTTTTGTTCATTATGCGATTCATATCGTGCTTTGTACTGATTAACTGTCATACACTGAAGCAACCTTGCAGTCTTAGAATAAATATCTCTTAGTCTTACTTGTTACTGAATTGGATTTGTTAATATTTTTGCTAGGGAGTCTATTTCCATCTATATATAGTACAGGGATATAGATCTATGAGTACGGTGATGTTTTTGCCTGGCTTTGGTGTCAGAAAGATAGTAACCTTACAAAAAAAATAAGAAAGTATCTCTTTCACTTCAATGCTATATGCGTTTCAGAAAGCGTGGAAATGTGGGAAACTCCACAATGAAGAGTTTGAGTTCTTGACTCAGTTTTGATAGTCGCTGTCTTTGTAGAAATTTTTCCATATCACAGAGGTTGTGTAGATTGTTGCAATTATATGAGAGCCTACAATTAGAGGCACTTGGTCTGTGTGTAAATGGAGAAGTCTGAAAGTGAAGGTAAGTCTGGAATCCATGTTGGATTTTTAAAAGATACTTTTCCCAATGACAACTCCTTTAACTTGGGTACTGACTTGGACCATACGTCTCAAGGACAACAACCCTTTTCTTGAAAGCCTGGACTATACAGGCTATGTAATTTATTTTCAAAACGTCTTTATCATTATAGATAAACGGGTACAAGGTGCCTTCATTTGTGCCTAAGGTGTCTTAAACACAAAGTATTATCTAAATCTTTATAACCAATCTCCCAATACAGACATGACTTAGGAAGAATCAGTTACTAGAAATCTGGTCCAGGTTTGTTGCCACCCTGTAATAAATGGAATGGCATGTATCTTTGACAAGTCCCATAATCTCATGTATGTTTTATGGATCTATTGTTTCCACATTATCAAGGATTTTCTTTTACTTGGAAACACAATCAATTCTTCAAGAAATCAAACTTGAGCTGGGAAAATATGCTACAAAGGACCTCTTTAAAGACTGAAAGGGGAAAGATTGAGTTTAAGGTCTACTGTGTCCCTGATTCCAGTCAGGGTATTTTCAATTGCTTCATATTCATGTGGAACCTGCATGAATAAAGAAGACTACAGAAGATTTGTGGTCTTGGTAATGAATATAGAATATATATTGGACCACGACAAGAACAAATCTGTCTTGGACTAAGTGCAGCTGAGGTGCTTTTTGGAAGCCAGGATGGTGAGACTTTATCTCACATACTTTGGGTATATTATCATGAAGAGCCCATCTTTGGAGAAAGACAGCATGTTTGGTAGAAGAACAATGAAAAAGAAGAAGACATTTTAGGAGATTAATTGGTGCACTGGTTTCAACAACGATTTTAATTAAGGAGAGTAGAGATTGTAAGGATAGTATACAGGATTGGACAGTGTATTGAGCTATTATGCACAGGATTGATATGAGTTGGATCCAACTCAATGGCATCTAACAATTATAATCTGATATTTGCACTGATTTTTTTTCTTCTGAAATTAGTTTTAATTGGTTCATTTTTCTCACCAAGATGTTGTTATTATGTAATGTGGGGTTGGAACCAACTTAGGGCTGATCCTCTGGCAAGTTTTCAGAGGCTGTAAATCACATAGGAGGAGATTGTTCATCCTTCTCCCATAGAGCAGCTGAGGGATTAGAACTGTGGCCTTCGGGTTAGCAGCCCAGTTCCTTATCACTAGGCCACCAGAGCTCCTTTCTCTTCATTATAAATAGTATTTTTTTCTATTTCTTTAGATACCTGGTAATTTTTATTGCATGTCAACCAATATGAATTTTATCTATTTGATTTTTGGGGTTTTAAAAAAATTTCATATATACATTTTGAGCTTTTTAGGGAATATAATTACACTATTAGAAATCAGTTTATTTATTTCTTGTTTTATTTTTAAGATCTGTTGACCAAGACCATTTTATTGTTTAATCTAGAGTTAATTTTCTATCTGAAAACTCTTATTGCTATGTAAGGTTTGTAAGGTTTTCTTTTCTAGATAGAAAATATGAGTGCGACACTTGGTCCTATATGCAACTTTGCTTGCTGAAAGTGAAGAGGATATGAAACACTTGCTGCAGAAGATGAGGGACTACAGCCCTCAGTATGGATTCCATCTAAACATCAAGAAGACAAAGATTCTCACAGTAATTCCAGTAGTCAACATTATGATAGACGGAAAAAAGATTTAAACTGATAAATGAGGAAATCATTGGCTTGGCTCAACAATCAACACCCTTAGTATCAGCAGTTGGGAAATCAGGAAACATATTGCACTGGGCAAGTCTACTGTCAGGGATCTCTCCAAAATATCTTGCTAATGATTCAGGCTATAGTCTTTTCAAAGATCTGCTACGCATCAGAGGTCTGAGCAATGAATATGGATTGTAGAAGAGGAATTGATGACTTTGAGTTGAGGTGCTGGAGAAGAGAAATGAATATTCCATGGAATGCCAGAAGAACACACAGATTTGTCCTGGAAATGGTGTGCCAAAGTGCTCCTCGGAGGCAAGGATGACAAAGCTTTCTCTTTTATACTTTCAGCATATTATTAGGCAAGGCTTTTCCTTGGGAAGAGATATCATGCTTGAAAAGATAGTGAGCAAAGGAGAGGAAGACTCCCAACCAGACTGATTGACATTATGACTTCAGCAATGGGCTCTAGGGCCTCAGAGACGATGAGAGGACAAAGAATAGGGCAAGTTTTAGTTTGACTGTTCATAGGGTCACTATGAGTCATACTTGACTTTATAGTAGCTAACAACAACAGCAACAGCAACACACTTGGTCCTGGATAATCTTTGACATGATAACTTCTAAATCTTTCTATTGCTTCTGTCCCTAATCTTGGATGATAGCCCTACATGCATATCCTGGCCGAGATTATCCTGATGATTAAAAAGACACAAGAGATTCTTGGAAATTCTCTGTACTCTGTCCTGAAAATTTTAAGTTATTTGATCTTCTGAGATTATTGACTTAGTCTGAATAGCTTGATGTTTATGCTAGGCTTCCCTGAATTCCATGTGTGTGTGTGTGTGTGTGTGTGTGTGTGTGTGTGTGTGCGCGCGAGCGCGCCAAGACGTGGAATCTTTCCGTTAAGGCAGTAAACTGGAGCAGCTGTGATTTAACTTTGTTTGCTTCCAGTCTCTTAGGAATTATTATTCTTCTTTATCAGATATCCAGTGTTTCAAAAGCCAGTATTTCACTCTTTTGTCCAGTTATTTTGATTCTTCCAGGTGGGAAGACAACATATGTTCTGTTAACTCTGTTTTTAATGAAAGCTGCATATTTGCTTCCTCCTTTTAATTTTTTAAAAGACTGGCATTTAATTTTATATGTAAATTACAGTGTTACTCAGCTCAGGTTAAATGCCACATTATTTGTGACTGTTGTTGCTACTGTGCCGTGATATCAGAACCAACTCATAACTGACTAGCTGACTTTCCAGTGGATTTTTAGAAGCTATATAAATCACACAAAAGTAGAACTCCCATCTTTTTCTTGCAAAAAAGCTAGAGGATCAAAACCATCTGTCTCTGGGAAAATGGAATAGAATAAAATAGGACAAGATAGGAGAGGATAGGATGGAATAGAATCTAAATAGCATACCCTCTAGTAGGATTTCCTAGGCTGTAAATTTCCTTGGAGGAGAACACACACTTTTCTTGCAGAGAGCGCCCGGTGGCTTTGAACTGCCAGTGAAACTCCCTACAGATAACACTACTATACATGTTTGCTAAATGACAGATATGGTAATGGCAGACATTGTTGTTGTTGTTAAGTGCCATTGAGTCATAGATGATTCATAGAGACCCTATGAATGAAAGACCTGAACACTTGTATAACTTTCGTCCTTTCTCCAGGTTTATGGGGTTTCTGGAGGCAAGCTATTTCAGAAGTGGATGCCACTCCTGCTTCCAAGCTTGTTTTAATTGGGGAGCTCCACCAATTGAAGTA